TGTTGATTTGTATAAGCTTGGCTTGACCATACTAAATGGGCATATAGCCCTGCTCCCCATGACCGCCGTGCATGGGACCGGACCTTGGTCTTATTAAAAAAAAAAAAAAAAAGTGGACCTACAGCATTTCCAGTTGAGGACCACTGATTTAGAGTGTTCAATCAGCCTGCCATGCATGTCTTTGGAATGTGGGAGCAAACCGGAGTACCTGGAGAAAATTCACACAGGCATGGGGAGAACTTGCAAACTCCACACAGGAAGTTCAGAGCTTGGATCGAACCCATGACCTCTGCAGTGTTAGGTCGACGCGCTAACCACTCGACCAGCGGGCCTCGAATAGCTTCAGTGAAGGGCATAAAATAACAAAAGAATTGGTTTGCCAGGCAATCGCAGGGGCACACACAGACAAACAACCATCCACACTCGCACCAAGGGACAATTTCGAGTGTTCCATTAACCTGCTAGGCATTTTTTTGTTTGTTTTGGAACGGAGTACCCAGAGATTCCCATCTTTAAACTCGTCTCAAAACGCATTTGTATTCTTTGGCTTTTGACTCAGCATGACTCAGACTTGATCTTACTTTTAATGTTTTGTGCTTTTTACTGTCTTCGTTATTAATTGTTTTATTGTTGTATAAATGATACTTGCTCCATGTACAGCACTTTGTATACAGCGGTGGTTGTTTTAAAGTGCTCTATAAATACAGTTAAGTTGAGTTGAGGGAAAACCCACACAGGCACGGGAAGAACATGCAAACTCCACACAGGAAGGCCGGAGCCGGAATCAAAATCGAACCCTGCACCTTTGCACTGTGAGACGGACGTGCTAACCAGTCTTCCACCGTGCTGCCCTCACACAGAATCAGAGGTCATCAATCAATTCTGTCAAAATTTGATTTTGGTGAGTACGGTCTATGGGCGGGGCCAATGCATTTGAAGTTATTGACAGGAAAAATCCTCGTTTACAGCAGGGGTGTCAAAGTCATTTTTGTTGTGGGCCACATTGGAGTCACCATTTCCCTTGGAGGGCCATTATGATTATCAAGAAGTCAAGAATAATGCTTTATTCAACGATTGTTGAAGTGACTGTGATTAGGACTCTGCTCACAAGAAAATGCTTAAAATATGTTATTTATTACATATGAGAATTTGAAATTTTTCAAGATTTTAGCAAGCATCAATCATGGAAGTTGACATCATTGATTTGCTTTCGCGGGCCACATAAAATGATGTGGCGGGCCAGTTCTGGTCCCCGGGCTTTGACTTTGACACCAGTGGTTGACAGTGTAAGACTGGCATGGCTCAGGTGGTAGAGTAGCTTTTTCAACCTGAAGGTCATGGGTGTGGTCATCAACCCTTGAATGACTTTTTAAAAATAAAACAATACTATGCAAGTAAAACTATTTTTCAAAAAATATCACATCTAATTTTTTCATTGCTCAATTGGTGGTTCAGTGCCTTAATTCTCATCATCTTGACAGCAGTTGGGCAAAAGTTCTTGTGGATGAGCAAAAGCTGTCTTTTTTGTATTATTAAATTTAATTACTAAATTGTGATAATCCAATTGTCACAATAAGTCACAACGTGTCACAAGGAGACAAAGTGAGTGTTATCTGTAATTATGTACAATATTTTGGGAGTTTCATTTCTTTTATTGCCTCTTCGAAGTAATTTCTTCAGCATGCTTCAGAATTTCTTGTTGACATATTAGAATGTAGATGGGGGGGGGGGGGTCACACCTGAACGCCCCTTTCGTGAATCCTGCTTGTTCTCATTCCACCACCATATGTCCTTGTTCCTTATTTTCCAATCGCTCTCCTTCAAAAAGCACATTAATCATCGCACTCTCCCACGTTTTCACCTCTACCTCCCCTTTTCCTCGTATTCCTCTGGTGTTTCAGGCAAGTGGGTCACTGGCAACTGCAGGACTGCCTGAGAATCACGTGCACGAAAGGAACAGCGGCTAACCCAAAGAAAGGTTTTGAAAAAAAGAAAAACTAGTGTGTCAAGAGTGTTCCTCCAGAAACCACCAAATGACTTAATTAAAGCGTGTGAAGACTGCTGCTCAGAGGCAAAACTAGGAACAAAGGCTCGCCAGGTTTCTTCAGGTTTTTGTGACGTAAAAAAAATCTAGACGAAATAAATCAAAACAAAATCAACTAACTCGTTGACTAACCCGTACAACTCAAGTGATAAATATACATTCTCTTGAGGGGAAGTCAAAATTAAGAACTGAAATGTGGTTGAACAGATTCGCACATCCTTTTATACTTGTGGTCGTGTTCAAAAATGTAATTTTCTTTTCTTTTGTTAAATGGGAGTCACCAGCACACACCTGCTAGCTGCACCATGTCAAAACCGCTTGGATGTTATTTATACTGTACTACTGATTTGAATGCGAATATTTGGCATATATATGTATAAATATTCGCATTCAAATCAGTAGTATAAATAATTGTTCAGTGACTCGGTTCGAGCATTTCGGGATTTGAAATGGGTCAATTTTGCCATCTAGTGGATTCTGGTAAATATCGCATGCCACAGACTGGTAACATCCTTTATCAACTCCTTTCCAGGAAGTTCCTGCGACCTTTGACACGTTGTTGTTTTGCGTTCACACAGCAACGCAGTTCCGTCGAACATTTATGCATTAAGTTGAGATAACCAAGCAGACGTAACTACAATGTCGGTGACTATAGAAAAAAAAAAGAAACAATTATGACATTAAGAACACATTTTCAATTTATGAAACTAATGAGATCCTGTTATGAACCATAAAGGAAATAGACGTAATATTCATCCATTTTCCGATCCGCTTTATCCTCACAAGGGTCACAGGAGGTGCTGGAGCCTATCCCAGCTGTCTTCTGGCAGTAAGCGGGGGACACCCTGAACCGCTTGCCAGCCAATCGCAGGGCACACAGAGATGAACAACCATCTGCGCTCACACTCACACCTGGGGGCAATCAGCCTGCCATGCATGTTTTTTTTTTTTTTTTATTTTTTTTATTTTTTTATGTGAGGAAACCCAAGTACACAGAGAAAACCCACACAGGCACGGGGAGAACATGCAAACGCCACACAAGGGAGGCCGGAGCCAGAATCGAACCCTGCACCTCCGCATTGTGAGGTTGACACGCTAACCACGAGACCACCGGGCCACCCCATTGCAATATAATACAACAAATACTATTACAGATGGTAAAAGGTCGAATTACACACATTAATACTTAAATATAATGATTTGGGATAAAGCCTCGGGCGTAGGGGCAGGCTTGCGGCTGTTCCCTCCTTCTGTGGTCACTCGACAAGACGGATCCTGGTCTGCAGGGGGTGCTGACAGTGAAGCCTTGTTCTGTCCCATTAGTTAGTCTGTCCATCCATTCTGTCCGGCTGCATTTCCAATACTGTATAGCACAATCCAAACAAACAACTCAAACTTTGTTTTGGCTGAGATGCATGTATTCCTGACAAAATATTGAGAATATTCCTGAAAGGTACATTGGTGTTTGCATATCTGGTTCCAGAGTGGTTTCATCAGAGTCCTGCATGACCTTAACCTCATTCCGATGCTTTGGCATGGCCTCAGAAGAGCAATTCACAAGAAGAATCACCAAAATGTTCTTGAACCGCAACTGTTTTACTGAGGGTGTTGTCAGTAGTGTAGAAAAATTCAGCATCGTAATATGTAGGCTGGGTGGCACTGTGATCGACTGGTTCACATGCCCGCCTCACATTGCAGAGGTGCGGGGTTCAATTTTGGCCTTCCTGTGTGGAATATGAAGGTTTTCCCCATGCCTGCCCGGATTTTCTCCGGGTACTGTGGTTTCCTCCCACATTCCAACAACATGATTGGCAGGTTAATGAAACACTCTAAATTGTCCCTAGTCGTGAGTGTGAGCGCGAATAGTTGTAGGTCGATGTGTGCCCTGCAATTGGCTGGCAGTCAGTTGAGGGAGTACCCCACCTCCTGCCCGCAACCCTCATGACTCCATACCTGTCAACTCATACGGTTTAGCCATACTTCATACGGATTTTGTGGTGAATCTTACGTATATGGCCATATTGCACAAATCATACGGATTCGGAAAATTTCATTTTTTTTTTTTTTTTTTCCCTAACAGGTAGTTCCGTTTGCTTTTACCCAGAATGGTGCTAGTCTACTCGAATGCTTTCATTTCCGGTAACTTTCCAGTAAATCACGTGGTTCCTAGTTGAAAACAGCAGAGTATTCATTGCATACTTCGGTAGTGTACAAGCAAGTTCTACAAGGAAACAAATATATCATTCATATTTTGTGGGGTTTTTTCTGCCGTTATCTTGATATATAAAATGCTTTGGTATGTTATAAGGATTTTTTGCTCTTTTCAGGATTTTTTTGGTAGTTTATACAGGTTGGCGCTCCAAAAAGTTGACAGTTATGTGACTCATTAGTCATGAGGATAAATGGATTAGGAAATGATGGATGGATATGTCCACCCATTTGGTTGCTTGAATTACTGTAAAATATTAAACACAGCTGTCAATATGATGCAATCGTTTTGCCACCATAATAATTTCAGGCAGAAAGTGACACACATAATTAATAACTTAGTGAATAATTAATCATTCGTTAATTTTAATACAGCGGTGATTTACGTTTGTTTCCGAATACGTGCATCCCTCATGACGGCGTTATATATTTGACATAATAAGCGTGACTGCAGACATGTCGGGTGCCGTCAGTCTTTGGCACGTTCTCGAATCTCCGTTGCGTGTTGCCAGTTACAACGCATGGTGATGACGTCACTCACGCGAAGCCTTTCTGACGTTCCTTTCTCTTTTCCTCAGGGCTTGCATACGCTTCCCGAGTTCAACAGACGAGTGAGCGTGCTACTTCTTTGTGCAAAGTCAGCGTGTATCCATAAGAGTGTTTCCTGCTCTTTTACAAAGTGAGTCAAATCATATCACGTATTAACAGTCACGGTGTTATTGCTCGGGAGTCGATTATCGGTAAGCTCTCTTATTTACAACAATATAGAAAATGATAACGGTGGTGAACATTCAGGCTTTGTTGGTTGTATTTTCTTCAAACATGGTTTTGAATAATTGCGTAAAAACGAATACCATCGCTGCATATAGAATCTTCCAACATGTTGTATTTACTGTCCTTTATGACTCGTATGTGATTGATTACGTAAACAAAGTATTCGTAGCCCGACAGTAGAAACCAGTAAAAAAGAAAGCTACAAGTTTGAATACTTAACTGACAGTAACAAAAGTTGAAAATCATTAAATTGGTCAACAGCAATTTTTAATCCGAGAGTGATGTCTCCCAAATTTATTTTTCATGCTGATTTTTTTTTTTTTTAACGGCTTTACCTTTTGGCTGACTCATCAGGCTTTTGAGATATTTCATATTGTTTTTGAGTTTGGCCGTAAAACTACGTTTTCTAGTCAGCGTTCTAAGTTATAAAACCCACCTGTCACTGAACCTAACCCTGAATTCATAAATGTTACGTATTATATATATTATTATTGTGAAAACCTGACGTGTTGGAGAATAAAAAAGAATTGGAATCAGAAAAAAAAGCATCGAAAAAAGTTTACTTGCATCTCTGCTTAAAAAAATAACTGTAAACCAGTTGTTTTTTTCCTAAAGGTTGGTACAATTTATGTACAGTATTATGTCAAAATGGCCATAAATCGTGTCGTTGGGTTCAGGGACGGTGCCAGAGCTACTTCTTTTGGTGTTCATTAGTTAATGCGGGCTACCGATTTGATACACACTTCAGAAATAACACATTTGCTTAAATTAACTTCAACAATGTTATGTGGTATTATGATTTATAGTCATTTATGTGCAGACTTTACAAACTGGCAATGTGTGTATTGTAGATTTTGTATGAACAGAAGAATATGCCATTATCTCCTTAGATGAAGTTAAGTGGTCAACTGTATAAACTGCTGTGAAGATAAGAGATTCCTTTATGGCTAAAACATCATTTGAAGATTTGCCAGAGGTCACAATGTATTGTGATGAATCAGAACAACAGAGAAGTTGTCGGAATTAGACCATCTTTGTGGTCGGAACAGGGACAATATGAGCGGGATAGTTCCGACGTCCCACATTCTTTGAATGCAGCATGTATGCTCTGCATCACTATGTAACAGTCGAACAGATTTTCTGCCACTTTATAAATAAATGAACTCAAGCACATGGTTCTGACCTGTCTAAACTGCTGCTCCTTCTTTCAGAACCCCCTCTCCTTTAGGAAATATGGTGAGTGCGATTTGATTTCCCTTGGAGCATTTGATTTGAAATTCAAGCTTAGAAACTGCCAACGCATTTGGGAGGACTTGTTACCACTTTTGTTCTTTCTAAAAATAGCCATCATTTTTGAACCAAGGATGAAAAGGTGGTGCAGCAGCAACTTTTGAGAAACTTTCAACGGTAAATGTAACAAAGGAATTTACTCAGTTGGCCAAGTTAATACATTTCCCGTGGACAGTGAGGAGAATAGGAAGGAATTAACTAAAACATTGGGGTAATTCATACAAACTGATTTACCGGTACATGATCACACAAACATTACCATTCATTCTCCGTGAGTCCCTTGGAAACTTACTGTTATTGAGACTTTCTTCTTGACCCATCTGGTGTTGCCACAGAAAATTACATGCAGTTGTTAAACAACAGAAGCAATTATAAAAATTTGAACTGGTTCAGAAGCAAATGTTGCTTCGATAATCCTTATCAAAGATGTTAGAATATATTTAATAGTAATGCTATCCCGATCAATTAACATGATATTCCCTTCCCTGCAGCGTGAGTGTATCTCAGTGCACGTTGGACAGGCCGGCGTTCAGATAGGCAATGCCTGCTGGGAGCTTTACTGCCTGGAACATGGAATCCAGCCCGATGGACAGATGCCCAGTGACAAGACAATCGGAGGTGGGGACGATTCCTTCAACACTTTCTTCAGTGAGACCGGAGCGGGAAAGCACGTTCCCAGAGCTGTCTTCGTGGACCTGGAGCCCACAGTCATTGGTAAACGAACTCATCTCTGAACTGTTGGACATCAATGAATGAAATCGGAACTCGTTCAATGCTCGCTATTTTAAAACAAAGAGAACCAGTCAGCTGGGATTCGGCTCCAGTACACCCGCGACCCTCCTGAGGTTCAGATCACGGATGGAGGGAATCTGTTGAGTGCCAGCCAATTTCGAGCATCTTTCATGGCTCACGGAATATTGTTTTTATGATGAATATGGAAACACAGAGCATGTCAAATAAAAGATTACTTATTTATTTTGTTCGACCTTATTCCATATTTTTAGTAATCAGGAACCTGGGATGGTTTCACCCAAATACTGTAACCTATTTTGGACCCCACACCCCCCCAAAAAAAACCAACACTTGAAAATGTGATTTTTATGCTGATAAAAAAATCCTGTCCCATCGTGAAAAAAAAAAAAAAAAACTACGGTGAAAACTACTCTCATCACGTCCTGTTCCTGTTCAGCATGACTGCCAAAAATATTGCATTTTACTCATTAATCAACAATTTGTTGCCACCCGTTCTCCTCATGGACTCTCACTATTTTGTGCAACATTGTTTTCCCTGCTCGATAATCCCGCTCCCGTTTGTTTCTGTGAATTTTTTATCCTGTACCATCCTTGAACCTTATGATGAAAGGTAAAGTTGACTCCAGTCCCATGGGAACCCCGAGGGATTCTCAAAAAAAAATGCAGCCTCTAGTCTGCGCGTATCATGCTGTGCGTTACGGGTTCTACTTCTAAATTAAAATAATCTCTTTTCTCTTTTCGGTTTTTTATGACACTCTTTGTAGTAAAATTAACGTAACAAACATACAAATGACCTGAAACAGTCAAATTTCCAGAGATCCGCCATGTTGACAAGCATCCACACTGTTTTGATACACAGTGCTCTCATCCAAAAGAAACCCAATGCTGACATTTGCTGTCTGTACTTACTATTATTACTATTTTTTTTTTTTCACTTTACCATTTTACTTATCAAACCAGAGTTGGCCAACAATTTTCTTCGCCCAATCCCAGAACAAAACATACAGTAGTTGACGGCGCTCCTCATTAGGGAGGCGCTCAAAGAGTAAATTTTGCACTTCACGTGAACTAAGGTTGGTTTGTTCCCCTTAGACGAGGTGCGCACAGGAACCTATCGACAGCTCTTCCACCCTGAACAGTTAATTACCGGCAAGGAGGATGCGGCCAACAACTACGCCCGTGGCCACTACACCATCGGCAAAGAGATCATTGACCTGGTGCTCGACAGAATACGTAAACTGGTGAGAAGCGAAGTGTACATTGACTTGCGATTAACAAAGTCAAACGTGATGGCCAACATATTTTCCTCCCATGTCACCAGGCTGACCAGTGCACTGGCCTTCAGGGATTCCTGGTGTTCCACAGCTTCGGGGGCGGCACCGGCTCCGGGTTCACCTCCCTGTTAATGGAGCGCCTGTCTGTGGACTACGGCAAGAAATCCAAGCTGGAGTTCTCCATTTATCCGGCACCACAGGTGTCCACGGCTGTCGTGGAACCCTACAACTCCATCCTGACCACGCACACCACGCTGGAGCACTCCGACTGTGCCTTCATGGTGGATAATGAGGCCATTTACGACATCTGCCGCAGAAACCTCGACATGGAGCGTCCTACATACACCAATCTGAACAGACTGATCAGTCAGATCACTTCCTCTATCACGGCTTCCCTTCGTTTTGACGGCGCCCTCAATGTCGACCTGGCAGAGTTTCAAACCAACTTGGTACCGTACCCTCGTATCCACTTCCCTCTGGCTACCTATGCCCCCATCATCTCCGCTGAGAAGGCTTACCATGAGCAATTAACTGTTGCTGATATCACTAATGCCTGCTTTGAGCCAGCCAACCAGATGGTGAAGTGTGATCCTCGTCATGGCAAGTACATGGCGTGTTGCCTTTTGTACCGCGGCGATGTGGTGCCCAAAGATGTAAATGCTGCCATTGCTACGATCAAAACCAAGCGCACCATCCAGTTTGTGGACTGGTGCCCCACTGGGTTTAAGGTGGGAATTAACTACCAGCCACCCACTGTGGTTCCTGGTGGAGACCTGGCCAAAGTTCAGAGGGCAGTGTGCATGCTGAGCAACACGACGGCCGTCGCAGAGGCCTGGGCTCGGCTGGACCACAAGTTTGATCTGATGTATGCCAAGCGCGCTTTTGTTCACTGGTATGTGGGGGAGGGAATGGAGGAGGGAGAGTTCTCTGAGGCCAGGGAGGATATGGCGGCTCTGGAGAAGGACTACGAGGAGGTTGGGGCAGACTCGGTTGATGATCAGGGAGAGGAAGGAGAGGAATATTAATAAGAGGTACAAAGGAACTAAAATACAGGAAACAATGCTTGATTCCTCTGTGATCCTGCATGTATTTGTTGACTACCAGAAGATGAGTTGAGTTGGGTCACTCGAAAAGTTAACTACCCCACACTCCCTTTCTTTTTTTCAAATCAGTTACGCATTTTGGACACAATTGCCAATTAAAGATTATTACCAACCTTGTTATCTGTATATTCTCATTCAACTCAACTGTATTTATAGAGACACTTTAAAACAACCACCGCTGTATTAAAAATGCTGTACATGGAGCAAAAATGATTGAGACAACAACAAAGTAATAAAGACAGTAGAAAGCACAAAAACAGTAAAACTGCAAGTCTTATGCAGAGTCAAAAGCCAAAGAACAAAAATGAGTGGGAGGTCATTCAAAGCGAGGGACCGGCAACGGAAAAGGCTCGACCCCCTCTGAGCCTCCGCTTAGTTCTTGGTGCCTCTTATAGTTCTGATCTGAAGCTATCTAATTACACACTATTGCCCCTACGCGCTCCATCCCGATGCGGGTGCATAGGGGCAGAGGGGCTCAAGAGAGGTAAGGTGGAGCAAGGCACTTTTACGATTTGAAAACAAATAATAGGATCTTAAAAAGAACTCTAAAATATAAAGGGAGCCAGTAAAGGTATGCCAGGGTAGGAGTGATGTGCTCCCAGTACCAGTCAAGAGTCTTATCAGCAGCATTCTGGACCAACTGGAGATGCTTAATGGAGGATTGGCTGACTCCAAAGTAAAGTGCATGACAGTAATCCAGCCGGAATGTGACGAAGGCCTGAATTACTGTATCAAAGTTCTCTTGAGAGAGGATAGGCTTGTCTTTAGCCAGGTGCCTAAGATGAAAGAAGCTGAACGTAACAACAGCCAACCAATTTGCTGGTCCAGCCACTGTCAATCACTGTCCAGTTTAAAACCCAAGTGCGAGACTCTTTGCTTAAGATAAGGAGCCAGGGGCCCAAGTCCTCAGAATGGGATACAAGGGCCACTGGTACTAAACATCACTTATGTCCTCTTTTCATTGAAATTCCAGAATTCATTCTTTCAGGTCATTGTATTCAGGGCATTCTCTGAGAGAGTCCATTACAATTGACTCAATATGAATATGGTAATGAACAAGGTTTAGTACAAATTCAATCATACTGTACCTGTTCCTATTGCAGTGATCTCCAACCAGCGTAGCACAGGAAATTACCTAATTGAAATTAAAATTATTGAAAAAATTAATCACGATATCTTTGTTAATCCAAGAACAACTCAATGCTCTTCCATTCAATGGCAGATGGAACCATAAACTCGTTTATCACCTGTTGTCATTCGTACAACAGAATTTCATGACTCTTGTCAGCTTTGTGTTAAACAGGCCCATATATCACTTTAGTCCATTTGTGACAAAATGAAAGTAAGATCAACATTTTAAGTGTTGATACTTTTGACAATTGTTTGGTAGTGTGTCATAAAAATGTTTGACCCCCCTACCCCCCCCAAAAAAAATCAAAATATTTCTGTACCTACAGCCAACAGATACCTTCATGAATATAACTACAGACTTAGATTTAAATACAATGCAAACCACCGGCAAAATTCATGTATTCTTTAACTCCATTGTTCTGAAATTATTTAGACAGGTGAAACGGAGGCAAACTTGTATCAGAATGATGGTACAGGAAAAGAGCCGCTAATGTTTAAAAAGGCTGACCATGATGGGGTATTGCCATACTTGGGATTTAAAAGTGTTCATTTCACGGATGCTTTTCGGTTGTTACCGAAGTAGATAGAGCAGTACTATGCTTCTATTCAGCCAAATACTCAAAAACTATTTGGAAAATCACAGAAGACCGTCTCAATAAAACCAATGTCAATATTCAATGACTAAGTAAGTCAATGGCTAGATTTCAACTGGAGCATGATTCTTAATTACAGACAAAAGTGAAGTCACAAGCAGAAAGGAAAGCTGGCTCTGTCATGTACTACTTTTATCCAAGTAATACAAATTTGTTTTATTTGCAGTATGTTATGTGGTCCAAATAGTAAAAAGCCCAAGTACTAATTTAACGTCACATCCATGTATCACATGCCAGGTATATGAACAAACACTCTTTGTCCTTGTACTTTTGCACCTGTGTTTATTAAACAAATCTGAATTGCTATTGCTGTTGCACAGTAGAGAAAACAGCAGCTTTGAAGAAGATGACTGCATGTGAGATGTTATCTATCTGAAATCCCTTGTTTGTTTCAAGGATGAAGGTCATCTATTTCAACCCTTCTCGAGAGAGAGGACAGCGATTCAAAAGTTAATCTCTCAGACATGAACGGATGCACCCCCACCCAAAATAAATCCCGATCTAGGTTTGAATTTCATCCATGAAGGGGTTAACATCCGGCCTCGTCAAAATTAAACCGTAGGAAACAATTAGTCATAGGCCAAGACAATCAAGAAAATCAACTGGCTTTTATTCTTCTCTTTAGATATGGTGATCTGAAAATAGTTCAGTGAAACAGAGTATTGCACCAATTGCAGAGCTTCATGTCATCAAGGTCGACAATATCACAAACTCTTGAAAACCGAGGAACTAACTGCACATTTTTCAGTAGTGTAATCTTTCATAAATACTTTCTGTTTACTCCTCACATCTTTATATACAGAGCACGTGACCATTGTGACATTTCACAGATCAAATTGGTGCAATTCTACAATGTAAAGGATGTTCCAAACTCTTAAATTTCTTTCATTCAAAGATCAGGCTAAGATGACAGAAATGCATAAATATATATAAAAAAAATCAGTAGATTGGACAGAATAATATATCTGTGATGTTCATAAATAGGGGAAAAAAAACCCTCAAGAGTGTTTTTTGTGTTGATTTACAATAAAACAGGATATGAAATGAAGCATCCTACTGATCTCACTGTTGTTAGGATTTTAGCGTGTCTGTCATTGAGATAATAAAAAACCCAGGTGCAGTTACAGTGCATAGATTTAGTCAGCATAAGGATTATGTGCAATGCTTTAGACCGCGAGGAGAAATTGTACCAACATTTGTCTTAAGGAAACAACAACCACAAGAAGTGTGAATGTGTTGTTGTTGACAGTGAAATCAGGATGTGAGTTTAGATTTCCTGTATTGAGGAACATAACAGAGATGGCTTTCTTCTTGTTCGTGGGATTTCGTGAAGGCTTCACATCCAAGGCTTCTCTCCTTGTCCTTATTTTCACATGGTTCTGGATAGACTGATTATTATCACTCCTTTAAGGCCTTGTGCGGCAAACCGAATTTACAGATTATGTGATTCACACCGTGAAATTTGTACAACTACAACCAAATCTGTTCAGCAAAAATGACAATTGACTCTCCCAAGGATGAACATCCCGGTTACCTGACAGTGCCAGTGTTTTATAAAGCATGTCGAGTTGGGAGTGTGTACACGTAAATTATTATCTAGCCAGCTGTTGATTTTAACCTTTGGACTAACGTCCAACTTGTTGATTACCTTCTCAGAGGGCACCGGTAAGGCACATTAGGACAAGCAGGTGAATTGTAACCAAGTAACCAAGAAAGAAGTAACGTGAGCGTGCTCGGCCCGTCAGCAGCCGGGAAAAGTACAGGCTTCTTCCTCTGAACCAACGTCTGCATGCCACCATCCCACCTTTCACCTGGAAGTACAAGTGGCATACAAATCAAGACACTGAAATCTGATTGGGCGAGTAATTGCATTTAGAATAAGGCCCCCCAAAAAAACAAAACAAAACAAAAAAAACTTGGGGAAACAGAACACGCTGTCACGGTTTCTGCTTGGAAAAAACATGATTGTATGATAGGGGTGGAACCGATTTGTCGACACGTCGATTTTATCACTCTGCAATTGTTAGCGCTTGAAGACGATGAACCCTTTCATGCCACCCTGTAACCTGATAACATGATAAGCTGTCCATTGTGGTAACCGCTGTCCCTCAAAGGGTTAATCACCAGTCCCATGTTTTTGTATTAATACCAAGTGTAGAGAAATATTTGATTAAACATGAGAATGGTAGCACAGTCCTTCAAGTCTATCTTCAAATATAACAAAAGCAGAAGTGCCAGTATGAACAGGCATCTGAAAAGGCATTCGCTAACGCTAGCTGACAACCAGCCAAAATGCTTAAGTCAGCATATTTAGCAAACGTCCTCCCGCAAGAGTGAAAAGTGTGGTTGATCAACCTCTACTGTGACCGCCAACAGTGAATATCTGTTAAATTGATTATGATTTTTAGTTGTCACACATTTGCATATTATTAATGATAAATTGATTACGCCTGCAATGGAGAATGCTTATGCTTTCAATAAAGATGTAATTATGCTTTTCATAAAGATATGCTCACATTTATAATCAAGAATGCTACGTGCACTTCGTGACAGTTGAGGGGCGCAATCACCTTTCCGAGAAAGTCGTTGGGAAGAGATAAGGTAATAAGACAAAACAAGAGCAAGGTCGGACGGAGCTGTCAACACCAGCTGCAACCAACTTACTTGGTGTTTTTGTAATGATTAGGCACATGTAAATAATTTTCACTTGCATACACACACAATGTCAAACAAGTTCAGTGTGTCTTCAACAGCCCTCACCCTTTAGGTTGGACACACCCATGTATGAGATTCCCAATGAGAAATAAATGAGAGGGCGAGCGGGAAGCAATTAAGCATTCACTTAGAATTTCATGGCTGCAACACATTTGATTTAATAAATGTTTGGGAACTAATGTTGGAAGCGTTGTAGGCGGAATTCTTTGCCATGTTTGCTTAATGTACAGCTTCAGTTGTTCAACAGTCTGAGGTCCCAAGTTCATTGGAATTGGGTTTGTAATTTTGAGTATTACCACAACCATATGACTCACTTAAATACATTTAAAAAAGCATATACCACCATACAATACGGTATGTCCTTTTTTTGGTGTGAAATCCCATTTGCGATTTTATCATGGTTTTTTTCCATCTACATTTTGAGTATTACCACAACCATATGACTGACTTAAATACATTTAAAAAAAGCATATACCACCATACAATACGGTATGTCCTTTTTTTGGTGGGAAATCCCAATGGCGATTTTATCATGTTTTTTTCCCATCTACAATTATTCAGGATATTTTGCAAATGATTCCCGAGAAATAAAAAAACCCATTTACCCATTTAAAATCT